TTCTTCCATAATGTGTTAGTACCTCAATGGAATCTGAAAGATTAGTGGTTCTGATATAAGTGGCAGTATCAGGGAAGCGTACATGTGCACAGTATAGGAAAGGTACAGAATACGCCTGTAATCAATTAGAAGCAATTAAAAGAAAACCAAGAAAATGAAGGAGAAATAGACAATATAATATGATATATAGATTTAATAGTTACCACAGTCAATCCGGAAATTAACGCAGCTATATCAGAACAACACCCATGCCAAAAACGTGGTGATGAAATAGACGACAGTTCACAAGATTACATTGAACTGATCAATAAACTACAGCAACACACACGTTGTAGCCCTTCATATTGTCTTAGAGTCGACAGAAGAATGCGTTAATAAAAGTGCAGATTTGGATATCCTATGGATCACAGCGACAGTACATTCATATGTAACAATAATAATGGGCAGCCTGAGCTCATTACAGCGAAAAATGATCCAATTCTTAATCTGCACAGCTGACTCTAATTGCAGAGTTGGCGTGCTAATATCGACCTAAAGCTGGTTCTCAGAATCTACGCGGCCTTATATTATATTTCTAAATATGCCAGCAAGGCAGAACCTTGGTCAATGGCTCTTACGGAGATATTTAGTCAGATTCTTAACAATAGCAATCCTGAAGAAGCTTCGCTTGCATCGATCTAAAAACTTCTTCTCAATAGCGTTTTAGAACGAGATATCTCGGCTCAAGAAACCTGTCACCTACTTCTTAGTATTCCTCTTTACCATTCAAGTCGTACATTCGTTTCATTAAATCTTAAGGATAAAGCTGCTAGATGGATTCGTAGCACAGGTAGCAGAGACAATGAAGAAGGTTTTACCAATGTCAGAAATGCAGGTCGTATGGCAAAATCGGCTATCAACAAATACTGGAATCGACCTGAAAAGCTTGAAGAATTTTCATTGTTTAAATTATATTTAACACATAAAAATGTTGGTGAAAAATGGAAAATATGCAAGAAAGAAAACATTGTATGTATATGGCTACGATCATTACCTCTTCGTAATGGTGATCAGTAGGAGGAGTTCTGCTAAGTAAAGGTCATTCTTCACGTTAAGCATCAAAGCCTTGAACAACTGACTGAAAATAATAATTTCGCTTGGTCAACACTTTATAGCCAACATGTTGATACGATCAACAATGATCCAACTAACATGCTTGGTCAGCCTGAAGATGAAGAAGATGAATTAAATGATAATGAAAGCTAAGAAGAGATCAAAGACGAAGAGGAGGAGGAATTTCGATTCAATTGGATGCAACTTGTCGAGATGAGACCAAATTCGAGGATACTGTCTTCATCTGATCTAGGATCTCGAGATATAGATCAGAATCATGATTGGATTAATAATGCTTAACAATATTATTCTAACATTAACATAACAAGCGTTAGCGATTTCGTGCAGCAAGTTTCAAGTAATGATAGAAATAATATTAGAGAAGATGATACCGATTTTATTGATCCTCAGACACTAAATGAGAATCAAAAAAAAGTTTTTGAGCGCATAGAATCACATTACAACAAAATTCTAAATGGTATTCAAGTAGAAGCATTAAGAATCATAATAATGGGAACTGCGAGTACTGGAAAGTCTTACCTCATCAAGGCAATTTGAGCAAGACTTCGCGTAATGGTAGGTAGTGGATCTAAACATCTGACACTTGTGATTGTACCCACAGGAGTTGTAGCCTTCAATATCAATAGTATAATGATTCATTCGACACTTTCCATACTAATAATGAATAAAAATAATTATGATCTAGATGGTAAACGACTGAAATAACTGCAAGAAAGGTTACAAAATATAACCTATCTCATTATCGACGAAAAAAGCATGGTTGGACGGCGAATGATTAGTTTAATTGACATGAGGTTGAGGCAAGCATTTTCAGAAAGCAAGAACGAACCTTTTAGAGGTCAGTCTATAATAATGTTTGATTATTTCGGACAGCTTCCACCAGTGCTCGACCTTCCAATGTATGCTAACCGTATGTCGCATGATCTTATTTCTAATAATGGCATTGCATCATACAAATAATTTAGAGAAGCATACAAACTTGATGTGGTTCAAAGGCAATCAGGTGACTCTGAAGAACAGCAGACCTTTAGAGACTTATTTCTAAGAATGAGAGAGGGTGAATGCAGTCTTGATGATTGGAAAAAGCTTAGTATAAGATTTAAAGGAAAACTCGACAAAACTGAACAGGATCAGTATTCAGATTCCATCTTTATCCTTATAAAGTGGGATAATGTAGACAAAGTAAACATAAAGATGCTCAGCTCGTTGAACAGACCAGTAACAAAGATTAAAGGAACTTGAGATTCAACTGTTACTGGCAAAAAAGACTCGCGTAATGCTTACGGCAAATTTATGGACTGAAGCCAGTTTAGTTAATGGTGCAATGAAAACTGTACAAGACATTCTATTTGAGAAACAGGGACCACTTTCACTTCCTATAGCAGTTTTTATCAAGTTCGATCATTATGAAGGATCTACTATCACAAAAATTGGAGATGTCAACGTTGTTCCGATCGTATCTATTAAATGCATCTGGAAATCTAAATCTAGAACGGCTTGTTCTCAGCTTCAAATTCCAATATGTCTCGCGTGGACAATAACAGTCCACAAGAGTTAGGGACTCACTTTGGCAAGAACTAAAATAGATCTCAGAAGTCGAGAATTCGCAGTGGGTCTTTCGTTTGTTGTGGTATTGAGGGTCTGTTCTCTTAGAGATATTTTCTTTAAGCAGTTTATCTTCGACAGGCTTCAACGAATAAAGGCTTGCAAAAGACTTCAAGAAAGAAAAGACGAAGAAGAGCATCTACTTTCTTTAATACTTCAAGAACAGGATTAATATATTAGTGCAAAGGAAAAAAAAAACAAATCGTACAAAAAGGGGGTTTTTTTTCACACATTTAGTAACGATAGATTTAGCGGTATTTTTTGCCGTACAATGAGAAGTATTTTTTTTGATATATAATAACCAAAGAACGCATAAATTAAAAAGTATATAATTTTTTTGTTTGTTTTTCAAAAAGTTTAAAATTTGGTTATTATTTTTTTTTAATAAAATACATGTATGTCGTATTTCTATTTTTGTTAATTTCATGATTCGTTATGAAACAGTAGGAATGAATCACATAGCATCTACTCATAGGTTGAGCAGGCAGACATCGGGACACTTTGCGTAGACATATATAGTCCTTCACTTTGTTCTAGACTAATTACTATGTAAGCATATATAAAGGTAATTAATTACCACGCTCTCATTATTTTCTTTATTAACCTTCTTTTCCTGTAGTAGTATACAAAGAAAGGTGTGTGAGTAAAGATTCTCTAATAATAAGGAAAGTACATAGCCGATTTCTCTACCAGAATCAGCAGACTTAATCACATAATGAGATATGCACGTCGCAGCGGGTTGTCATACAATGTCTGGACGCTCTTCTTCCCCATGCTCGCTGGGACAGGATGTATTACACATACTATGCTCATTAAAATTTTCATTTTTACCTTAAGATGGCGCTTCAACGACAAAGCATTTTGATATTTCCTCGTTTCTGGTTCTAGGCTTCTTAACAAAGTTTCCAACTTAAACCCCAAAACATGATGCGACTTTCTCATTAACGCATCAATAAATGTAAAAAAATAATAGTTATCCCATAGTTCTAAACCCTATTGCATCTCGGGTTTCTTCCAAAATCATAATGTCAGAGCTTCTTCAAGATACTTTCAAACATAATTATGTATATAAAAAAAAATAATAGGATGACTTATAAAGAATAATATTAATAATAATAGGAATAATAAGTCTATCCGGAATAAAGAACGATAAAAATAACAAGAGTGTACAGCGCTTCATTTCACGATTGTAGTATGTACGCGACGTGATAAATATAGGTCAAAGTTTTGATTTCATTGGTTAATTGACAAGGATTCTGATTGGCTAAAATTAAGAAATTGATGTTCGCTAAATTATGCGTTTATAATTATGGCCAAAATTATTAATTTAAAAAGGGGATGTTAAGCGGTCCCGAGAGAATTATTTTTACAAATTTATTATTAAACTTGTCTATTATAATGTTTTAATGAGCTTCTTAATGAAAATTTTAGGATTTACGGTCCCTAGGACTTAAAAGATAAGAAAAGATTCTTTTCCAAACAGAACTTCGAATCCAATTAAGAGAAAGAATTTTGATATATCTTCTTATGAAGGTATTAGATGTACGACTTAATGAATAAATGTGGCACAGTACATTTGCAACTTTGCGAGGTGCTTCTACTGCAGACATTTTTTTCAGTTGGGAAGATTGCTTAACCAAAAGAAGAAAGGTGGTTGTCGTTTGATTTAAATTTATAATCGTTAAGTTTCAGAAATTTATTGACTTTGAATAACGAGCAAAATTATAAGAAACATTCACTGAACATATATATCATCTAGTGTTATAACGAGGATTAAATAAAAACCATGGAATTGTTGGATAAAAAGAAATCTTTTATATGCATTCAAGAATTAAACAGGAAATTAAAATTTTTGAAGAAAAAATTTGACGGCGTTTTTTTTGACGATTTTACATCTCGGTTAAATGAGAAATATGTTCTGTAGGATAGAACATAACGTAAATTGCTCTTTACTCACTCAGAATACACTATATAGATTATATAGATTGAAGTTATTATACAAGGTTATAAAAAAACCAAATAAAAAAAAATGATTCAATTTTTTATTGTTAAAAAATCATTCAAGATATCAATAAACCATTGACGAACGTGAAAGGGATGGATGGCTATATATAATTCTCGGTCCATTTCTGTAAAAAAAATCTGATCATGATTAATTATTTGCTGCGCATTTTTCCCATATAAGGTTAGAAGTATCTATAATGTCCGTAACATAAAAAAAAAAAATTTTATCATTTACAAATTTTTAATCCTTTAAATTTTTGCCTTTTCTTAATTAAATTATGCTATCTTCAGCACTTCGCCGTACAGTTGGCTCGGCTAGATTGTTAGTTGCTAAAGGTGTTGTAAGGCAACCAGCAGCTAGAGCATTCTCTGTTCTTGGACCTCGTCTTGGAGGTGAGCGGAAATTTCAAATTTATACAGTAGGAGAGCATAACAATTTTCGATATAAACAATCCGATAATTTAAAGTAATTCGAAATTTTGATTTTAGAAGTGAATACTAGCATGATCGGACCCGGTGCAAAGCCTGGTACTATTCCCGATGATATTGAACAAGCTACCGGTATCGAACGTGCTGAATTGCTTGCTAAGTTGGAAGGCAAGGAACTCTTTGATATTGACGGTTTGAAGATTACTGCTATGGGTACGAAAAAGAATCCTATTATGGTAAAGAGTGTGGATACTAACCGTTATGTTGGCTGCTCTGGTATGTCATATTCATTTCGGAATTTTCATTGGTTGATTCAAATTTTTTAATCATATCATTTATGGAATAAATGTTAAAAACTTTTAAATGATTATTCAATAGGGTTCCCTGTTGATTCTCATGAAACAATTTGGTTATGTGTCGAAAAAAGTCATGAATTTGACAGGTGCCCCGAATGTGGTCAAGTATTCAAACTTGATTTCGTTGGCACTGAAGACAAAGGTCATGGACATCATCATTAATTGGATAGATGAAACCGGAACGTATTTAGTTGAGTGAGATTTTGCTTATATTAAACGAAAGCAGCTATTAAGTAATAAATACAATAATATTTTCTATTTTACTAAATTCGTTTTTAATTGGTTTTCTTTCACAACAATCATTACAATCATTTCCCTTTTTCAACTTTTTCAATCATCGACCGTTTATTATTCTTTTTAAACACAGACTTTTTTTTGGAAACATTAGCCTTTTAAACTTACATAAACAATACATACCTTAAAAAACTATTTTTATTACTTTCAAATTGATCAAAAGGACAAATTTTATTAAAATAATTTCACCGTGATTTTCTGTCCAATTTACTCTTTTTCATCGTCATCATCGTCATACTCGTCATATTCTTCTGTTTCTTCAACATGTTCCTCCTCTTCGCTATCTACATCAGTGAATTCTATCCTGATGATTCCATTCCAGACTACATGAATGACCATAAATAAAACTGCTCCAGTAATAAACATCAACCTTTTTCTCTCAAAATCCTTTTGAGCTTGAGATTTTTCTGGCCTTTTTTCTACGTTCCTAGTTCTCCAGAATGTGTTGTTAAACCATGTACGAGGAGAACTGAAAATTCCTGTGAAGACAGATGGAAGATCATTTGCCGGCAATTTTACAATCTCCCTTTCAGAAAGTCGATTTTTCATGCGTTCACAAAACCTTGCAAGACTAGGATATTCTGTATTGAGAATAATAGCTAAATTTGGATTTGGCAGATCCGAGTATAGGTGAACTGCTAGATGTCCATATATCGTTATGTCAAGCGTGGAAACTCTATCATTGCGATTATTATTAATAAGTTGTATAAATGTTTATTAATAATAATAAGAAGAGTGACTTACTTATTTCCAAGGAAAAACTCCTCATTGCCGATTTTATTCAACAATACCTCATAAGATTTCCTGATAATTTTATACATCTATATAAAATTATATTTAATCAGTTTCATCAGATAAAAATGTATAGAAAAATCAAAAATTTCAAACCTCTAATTGCTTATCCGTATCCACAAGAAATTCTCGATCCCCAACAGAGACAATACCATATTTTTCTAATCTTGCTTTAGCAATCTCGCGCATTTGACCAGGTATGAAATAATTAATCGGAAAGGCGAGGAGTCTTCCATAAAGAGGACGGATTGTTTGTATATAATTTTTCGTGTCCGCGAACCATAAATATAGCTAAATTCAACAAATAATAAATCGTCAAGATAAATAAATTAATCGCAACCCATTTTAAATTAAATTGGTTAATTGAACTTACCAAAGAATCGTAAATTTCGTTCTCAACAAAGGTCAAGTATCTATATAAGAAACATTAATGGAATTCGGTAAATTTATCAGCAAGAAATATAAATATAAAAATTAGATACTTGCGCCAAGCTATCGGCTCTTTGCCTGCTTGTCAAATGTTCGTCAGCGTCGAATCTCTTTCTTTTCATATATTTTATTATATTATTTATACCTGTAACCCATTCTACTCCGTCTTTCAAAACTGGTAATTCACCTTCAGAAATTGAGAGTCACTTTTGATAAGCTAATACTTTACAACGTATCATAGAAACTAAAAAAAAAAACCAAAAACGCTTAGTACCCGTCCAAGATAAGTTTGGGTTGTTACATTCAATGATACACCATTCTTCTGAGACAAAAAGTTGAAAATAAGAAATAGCTGTCAAACAACCTGGATCAATGGAAGCTAGATCAAAACCTGAACCCCATACATAAAGAGTAAACATTTTGAGAATTTTCAATCAACCGAAATTTGAAATTATAAAAAAAATTTTTTGAATTCGATAATCTAAAAAAAATCGAATCACGTTTTCAATGGCTAACAAACGAAAACTAACGTGACTTCGGTTTTATAACTTGTGTGTCAACTTAAATAACATTTTACAACAAATTTCAAAATTTTATATTATTTAACAATACAAATCAAAGTTTTTTTTTTTAAAAAAAAATAATATTTTTAAAATAATATTTTTAAGTAAAAAAAAAAAAAATTAGGTTAATTAATAAAATTATGTTAATTATGTTTTAAAAAAAAATTTTTAAATTTTGTTATAATATTTATATTATATATATAAAAGTTAAAATTAATATTTAATATATTGTTTACTATGATTATAAATAATTTTATTTACCATCAGAAAAAATAATAATATTTCTTGCATTTGCATTTTATTCTTAATCATTTTTCTGAATTCCCATTATACTAATTTAAGGTTTTTAATTTTAATATAATTTTTTTTGGTTATATGTTTAACATATTAGACATATCTTATATAATTAGCATAATCAATATATTTAACATATTTAAATATTTAATATATTTAATATATTTAACATTTTTAATAAAGTAAATTAATATATTATTATATCTGACAACAAATTACTGATTACTTTAAAATAAAAATGATTAACTAAAAAGTTTTGTTTAATTAAAATTATTTATTAATAAAATTATCTTTTATATAATAAGTAAAATAGTTTATTATAATAAAATATTCATAACTTATGATTTTTATAAAAATTTAATTATTATAAAAATATATATAGGTTAATTACTAGGAAAATCAGGTTCTAGAAATTTTTTAATTAAAATACATTAAACTTTTAATTTTAGTCAAAAATTTTTAAAATCTGATTTTTCTAGAAATCCTTACAAAATAGTTTAAAGTTTGCTATTTATTATCAATGGTGGTCAGTATCAGTAATACAAATTTACTTTTTCAAAAGTTTGTGCAATTCTATTTAAATTTTTGATAAATCAAAATTGACTTTTTGGATATATATAATATCACCTAACATTCTAAAAAGGCATTTTAGTTAGAGTTATAAATTTGATCAAAATTATAAATATGATAAATAATATGTGACAAATATGATTTTACACTTGAAAAAATTCCAAGTTCTTAAAATATATAGTAAAATAAAATATAGAATGTGTAATGTTAACGTGTAATTCTTGTGAATTACAACTGTTAGACAGGGTGTTTAAACGGTTTATTCTTTTTAATTGAGCAGTAATCTTTTAATAATTTGCAAGCTTTAACTCAGATGATTTATCAAGTATTTATATTATCACAACGAGTTATGATTCAATAGATTACCAGTAGCGTGTATTTATAAATATTGTATTTATTCACGAGTAAAATAATAATAAAGATGAAGTAAAAGAAAATAAGAAGAAAAATAAGAAAGAAAAGTAACGAAATACTAAAACTAAAAGGTGATGTGGTAGGCCAGTTGCCTTTAAAACTACGAAAATTATCTTGTCAAATTCCTATCTGTCTCCCTATTTATTTGATCCTAGATTCAGGATCTGCAGGAAGCGTTATATCAAAAAGTTTCTTACAACAATTAAATAGAAAAATCGAAGGCTTATCAATGATTATTATGATTAATATACAAAGAGGACGCTCACAACCATTGGAAAAAGTCACTAATGTTTCAATCCAAATTAGTGATATAGAGATTCCCATTGACGTCGATATAACAGAGTCTAATGACCGTAGCTGAAAATGATTGGTTAACAAAATGTCGTAAATGATTTTATTAGGACTATCATAAATTTATCTTTCAATGAAACTAAAAAGAATATCAGATTCCTATGATTTGTTAGAAAAAATCTCAGTAACCCTAAATAAGTGACAATTTAAAAACAAACATATTCATCACAATATTTCGAGAGTCTTAATCAAAAATTCAAATGTCAACCACCTGAAATACCATTGGTAAGGCTTAGGAAGTAGATGTTGGTATCATAAACAACTTAACCAAGCTGAAGACACCTGCCTTCTATGCCAAAAAGAATAAGAACATTGGCAGTTATTACAAAATATTTCTGAAGAAGAACCAGCTAAGATCAATTCATATACTCATTTAGATCAAAGACAACAAAAAGAATTACAACAGTTTTTACAGGCCAATACTAAGGCATTTGCTACTGATTTGTCACAACTAGGTCATATTGCCATTAAGAGACATCATATTCCAATAGAAAATCCTCTTCTAATACAACAATAAGCTTATCGAGTTGCGTCCTTAGAACAAGAATTCATTAAAGAAGAAATAAATCAAATGTTAAAACATAATCTCATTAAACCATCTGAAAGTCCTTAGGCTTCACCTGTTATTCTAATATAAAAGAAAAATGTGAGTTTACGTTTTTGTGTCAATTATCAAAAATTAAACAGTGTCACCTGAAAAGATAGATATTCACTACCACGAATTGATGAACTATTAGATATGTTTGAACGCTCTAAGTATTTCTCTACTTTAGACTTAGCTAGTGGCTATTGGTAAGTAGCAATGGAAACGGAAGATCAAGCAAAGACCACCTTCATCACAAGTCAAGGGTTATACAAATTCAAGATTATGCCATTTGGATTAACAAATGCACCTGCCACTTTTCAGCAGTTAATGAATAAAGTTTTTAAGGAAGAAATTGGGCAGTTTATAGTAGTTTATCTTGATGACATTATTATATTCTCTTCCACCTTTGAGGAACGTATGCAACACCTAAAACATATTTTTGAGAAACTAGAAAAAGCAGGATTAAAACTTGGCAAAGATAAATGTGAGTTTTGCAAATTAGAACTTGCATTTCTAAGACATATTGTTAGTGGGTAAGGAATTTCATCAGATCTGTCAAAAATAGATAAGATTAAAAATTTTTCCATCCCTAAAAACATCACAGAACTTAGAGGATTTCTTGGATTAGCCTTTTATTATCAAAAGTTTATCCAAGAATTTTCTATTAAAGTAGCCCCTTTACATTTATTATTGCGAAAAGAAACTCCTTTTGAGTGGACTTCATCTTAGCAGGAAGCGTTTGAACATTTGAAAACTGTTTGATTACAGCACCAATCCTCATATATTCAGACTTCAAACGAAAATTTTTATTATTTACTGATGGATCTTATGTAAGACTTGAAGCAGTACTAGCACAACTAGATAACCAAAATAGAGAATGTGTTGTTGCATATGCCAGCTAAAGTCTGAACAATGCTGAACAAAATTATACACTAACTGAATTAGAATGTCTCGCTGCCATTTGAGGAATGGAACATTTTAGGTCATACTTATTTTATTAACCATTTGAGTTAGTTACTGACCACGCGACATTATAATGGTTGTTTAATAAACCTGATCCACTCAGAAAATTTATAAGATGGATCATTAGAATCATGAAGTTTCCCTATAAAATTAGATACAGAAAAGGAAAAATACATTCAAATGCAGATGCTTTATCTCAACTTCCCTTCCTTACCATTTAAATTACAACCCAGAAAATAATCATATAAAAAGTGAAAGCTTAAGTGTCAGCAGTGTGACTGACAGCTCTAATAACCAAAATGGATTTAGAAACCTATAACCAACTTTATAATTTCCTTAATATTTTAACTTACCTACCAAATACTACACCTGTACAACAACTTGAAATTTGAAAACAATCTTCCAAATATTTTATTAAAAATCAACAACTTTATCATAGAAATCAAAAGCAACCTTTACAACCCCTATTAATCATTAAAATTACCAAAGTCAAAGCCTTGATCTATAATATACACAACGAATCTTTAGGAGAATATTTAGGCTGTGATATAATTTACAATAAAATAGCTTCTAAGTATTATTGGCCAAATATGTATTGAGTAATTGATAATTAGATAAAAACGTATGATATTTGTCAATGACAAAGGAGACTTAGATAAATGGAACTCTTATACCCAATACTCGTCAGACAACCCTTTGACCATGTTGAAATAGACTATGTAGGACCCCTCCCTTGAACTACCAAAGAAAATAGATACATTATAGTTGCTACTAAATATCTTATCAAATGGGTAAAGGCAGCTGCCACCCCTGATTATACTTCTCAAACAACGGCATAATTCATTTATAGTGAAATAATTTATCGACATGATACACCAAAGGAAATTTTAACAGACAGGGCTATGTCCTTTTAAAATGAGTTAATTACTGCTCTTATAAATATTATGGGGACCAAACATAGATTATCATCCCTATATCATCCTCAGACCAATAGATTAACTGAACAGTTTAATAGAACTCTCTGTAATATTTTAGCTAAATATGTAGAACAGCACAAGGGTGAATGTGATTCTTATCTACCTTCAACCCTGTTTGCTTATTGAACGGCGCAGCAAGGAATGACAAAATTAGAGTCCTTTGAATTATTATATGGAAGAAAAGTCATATTGCCAATTGATTTACAATTACGACGCCCTTCACCTGAGAGTAACCTTTCACAAGCAGTAGCCAAGCATCATCAATTAATTTCAGCCAATTAGAACAAAGGAGACTTGATGCACAACAAAATATTTTACAACGTCAACAACAACAACAGGAACGTTATAATAAAAGTCACCCTAGAATAAATTATCAAATTGGTGACAAGATATTGATGTTTAATATATCACAGTTATACGTATATAGTGATAAATTTAAAGATAAATTTGATGGACTATTCTACATACATGATATTATATGACCTGATACATACAAATTGCGTATTATAGATAGACGAGTTAGAAAGAATCCAATACACGCTGATCTCTTAAAATTATATTTGAAAAAATCTGAATGGACACCATAAGTCATCATTAGTTGACAAATTTTCTATAAATATAGACATAGTCTGGACCCTGATGACACTATTTTGTAAAATTTAGAATAGCTATACTAGATAATTTCGAAATTGTATTGGAACAACTAAAATACATAACAATTTCTTCAACCATGACCCTCAGAATTTAGAACCTTATAAAGATGACATGACATTATCACAAAAGTGCAAATAATTTACCGAGCTCTTTTACGATCTATACGTATGAATAATCGACTTTTATTATTTGTCAATTTCTTTTATTTAGGATAACTCCTCGAAGATAAAACTAATACCCCTGCTCAACGTACGGTATAAGTATCTACTATTACTACGCATTACTATTGAACTATCATACGAGTCTTTTACTTATTTAAACATCTTGGAGTCTAATGAATTTTTGGTACTCAGTCACTTACTTTAACGATGATTTAACGTTTAAAAATTACTGAATATTAAGCATTGGTAATTGAGGCTTTGAATATTTCTGCTGGAGTAGAAATCTTAAGCGAAGAGTAATGTAACAGGATTGGATTGACGAACGTGATGCAGTATATTGCAGATCTAAATATCAGATATATCAGACATATTTGATATATTTGATATATTTGATATACTGAACATATTTGATATAATTGATATCTTTAACATATCAGATATATTAGATATATTTGATTTATTTGTTATATCTATCTATGTATTAATTTAATATAAATAAAGAGTAATAGAATCATGTAAACAGTAGTTCGCTTGTAATTCACTTTTAGTTTTCTTTTAGTTTTACTTTTCGATACACATCTAGTAGTCCTTGTAGAGGCGTCTGGCCTAATACCTCACTTAGTATTTTAATATTTTGGATTTCTTTTATTTTTCTTTATTTTATATATATTATCTTTATTTTATTATTTATCGTCAATAAACATATTATTATACCTCTGAATCAATTGAGTTACCTTACTCCTAGTCTTGTCATAAATACACTACTGTGTAAATTATAAATCTTAGGATAAATTAAATTGAGTCACTACGTAAACTTAAAAGAATCACTACTCGAACACCCTGTCTAACTGTCGCAATTCGCAAGAATTGCACATTAACATTACTATGTAAATCTCAATTTATGAATAAAGTCACTTGCATTTAGTAAACTCAACTTAATTTATAAAATCAGTAGTAAATAATTAAGTTTACCGTAAAGCTGATTAGAATTATATGTAAACTATAAAAAAGTCAATTCTTTTACACTGCATCTAACAGTTATAACCTAAAAAAATTATACATTAACAATATATAATATTTTTAAAATACTTTGTCTGTTACCAAATTATTAACTTTTTTTATATCTTTATTTAATCAGAATATCCTATTTTATTAAGTATTATAAGAAAAATAATGTAAAATTATTATTTATTCATATGGATTGATTGCTAAAAAAAATTAGATTCTAGGAATTTTTTAACAAAATTAAGATTTTTAGTTTTTGATATTATTAGATTAAAATGCATTAAATATTTAATTTTAGTTAAAAATTTTTTACTTGATTTTTTAGAATCCTTCTATATAATTTACCTATAATTAAGATATTAACTCAAAATTAAAATTTATTTATTTATGATACAATTTTATAATCAATTGTAAAAAATAATTATTTTGTTTTGTTTATAATTATTTTTAATTTATTTTATAAATTAAATTTAATTTTACAAATTTTTTAAATTTAATAATAAATAATTTTTTAAATTTAATTAATAAATAATTTTTTAAAAAAAATTATAATTGATAGTATTAATTATTATTAAACTTTAAATAATTTAGATAAATTTAAAGATTTTTAGTTCAGATTAATTTCAATTTAATTTTTAAATTACATAAAAATCAATTTAAAAATTTTAGTTTGTTTAAATTTTTTTTAGATTATAATTTTAATTTAAACTAAAAAATCTAAACAAAACAAAAATTTCAGATTAATCTAAAAGTTTAAGTTAGATTTTTATTGGTTTATAGTTTAATTTAGATTTAATTGAGTATTTTTAAGATTAATAAACTGAATTAAACGAATTAAAATTCAAATTGACTTATAATTTAAATTGAATTAAGCTTTAATTATTTTAGTTATCTTTTATAATTAATATAATTATTAATAAATTTATTTTATATAATAAAGTTATTAAAGTTAGTTTTTTTAGGTAACTTATTATTTAATAATAAATGATAATAAGTATAAAATCATTTATTTTATAAAAAAAATATTGATAGATAGTAGCTTATTTTAATTAAATAACAAATAAATATTATCTTATATTAGCATTCTATATTAAATTTTTAAGAAATCAATATAAAATTATATAAAATTATTTTTATTAAAATATACTTTATTAATTAAAGAATATAATTATATATAAATATTAATATATAAAAAAATTAAAATTTTAAAAGATATAAATAATAATAAATAATATAAAAAATATAAGATATATAAAATACAAATAGTTATAAAAAATATAAGAAATATATCTTATAAAAAATATATATAACATATATGATATTTTGTTAATCTTTATCATCTATATTATTTTAGATTATTTATATCATTTTATATAATAATATGATTTCTTTAGTAAAAAAAATTTCAAATTTAAAATAATTTTTGAACCTTTTTTTTTTACTACAAAATGTTTATTTATATTATTATTTTTAGTAATATATATAAATAATTTAATAAAATAAATAAAATATATTTTTTTTTTGATTTGAAATTTTTAATTAATATAATTAAATTTTTTTTATAATATTTATTTAATATATTTATATAAATTTATAAAAGTATAATAATAAAGTTTTTGTTTTAATTATAAATATTTTGATAAGTAAAAAAAAAATATAATAAAAATAATATAATGTTTTTTTTTATATAAATTAATAAAATTATTAATTCAAATATTTATAATTCTTAATTTTAATTGTAATATATATTAATTTTAAACTTTATAATTAATAATTAATAATTGTTACTAAAATTTTACTTTAAAATAACTAATAATTATATAAAATTTAAAGAAATGTTATTTGATTTTATAAATAAAAATTTGGTAATATAATAAATTTTGATTTAAGAAATTATATTGATTCTAAAATATATTAAGTTCATTTTTTTTTTATTTATTGTTTTTTTTTGATATGATTTCGTTTTCTTTTTTTTGATAAATAAAGTATATTGGGTTGTGATATCATTGAAAATTTATTTTTACCTTAATATTGATTTTTATTTATATATATGATATCATCCTTCATCTTCTTATAACAATCTTTATATATATATCAAAAAATATTATTGAAATTTACCCATAAGAACTACTTTTGGGGTTGATTATCTTCCATGAAATTTTTCAAGAAATTTTTTTTTATCTCGTAAGAAATTGAACTTCGGCTAATTTGTAATCTATTTTATCTTCAACAACTTTGCGACGGTTGCGATATTGCTTACAAAGTTAGTAAACAAATTAATATGTCGAAAAAACTATCCAAGTCGGTCGGGCTAGAAGTGAACAGTATGTAGGTGTGTCGGGACCACTGGAAATCATGAAAAAATTTCAAATAAGGCTAACCTCTAAGCCCATCCTAACTTCTTCCGAACCAACTTCAACGGGAAAAGGGAATGTGAAATAAGTAATTTTCAGGAGCAAGCCTTGTAACACATGACATTTAAAAATTATTACTATACTTTTTTTTTTAGTTTTTTTCTTGAACTTTTCATTACTTCTTTGAACTTGGTTTTTGATCAATTATAAATAATAAATTGTTTAAAAAGATATTTAGATATTACTATCTTTCCAAAGAAAACTTTTTCGTTATTCAGAAGTAGAATTATCATCAAGATCACCAACGCCACCAGTTACATCATCAGCCTATTAAAAGTAATACAATAGCAATCTTGGTATAATTGTAACAACTTGGGAGCAAAAATAGTGTGCTCAGGAGAATGTGAATTTCAAACTAACTTTCTTTATCTGATTGACTTAAAGAAAAAAAGAAGTTTCCTGTTTTGTATGGAATTGATCTTACTAAAAGAATACGTACTAAGGGTGGTTTTATTGGGTAAATCCTTTTCTGAAAAAAGGTTGGTGGGTGATAATCCAACTCCGCAAACCTTGATCCAAATTGATAGAAATCAACGTCATAAGACTATTGGTTTGTGCTTTATTAAATTGGTTTCAATTAAAGAACCAAACTTATTACCGACGAGAGCTTTAATAGATGTGGTATGAATCGTATATTTTTTACCATATCTTAGTTACTAATTTTAAACTTTTCTGTTGATAATTTATTTTAATCAAATTCGATGTTTGGCCACAAATCGTGATGTATAAATAAGGTTGTTCCATGATGGTTGTTCATCAGGTATATTTGAATCAGAGAGACAAGACCCTTAGGCTTCGACGGTACCGTCGAAACCATATTAAAGATACCCAAATCAAACATAGCAACTATACAGGTATATATTAATTAAGGATTTTAAATATTTAACATCAATTTTTTTTTTCTATTTAACGGTCCCGGTGATCCAATTAGAATTCCAATTTTCAGGTAGATCATTATTCATTTATAATTTGTTTAGCATCCAGCGTTCTAAAGATTAAGATTAAAAATAGTCGCAATGTACAAACATCCTTTAAGTTCGTTGTAATATTGCCTCACAAATTCATGAATCCGCGGTTGAACTATTCGTTAATGTAAATGATGGATCCAATGAGGAATAAATGTTTCTAATCATTTTTGTCTAATTTTCATTCGCAGGACAAAGAGACAGAATATATATTTGATCTTTTGCTTATTGGTATTAGGTAAGTTTTAGTATTGGTCAAACTGATGAATTCGACTATTTGGAATATAAACATTTATAGAAAAGCAAAATTTACGCGTAAAAATTCTTTTCGTTATGCTATTAAGCTTTGAAATAAGGTGGATATATATACAATATATAATCAATAATTAATCGAAACATCGCAATTGATTTTTGGCTCATCGTTCTTTGTTGTTCGTCTGGGTCATCGGGCAGTTTAAGTTCGTCATTGGTTGTTTTCTTGCCAGTTAATCCAGATTTTGCTCAAAGTTAAAACCCACGAAAAACCAAAGATAGAGAGATTTATTTGCACAGGATGATTTCTAATTTAAAATAAACTTTAAATTACAAAAGTGAATCATCAAATCAACACAGATGAATTTTCTCTTTATTTTACTTATTATATGCCTTAACTATATCAGAAATCATCTCATTTTTATTGATTATCACTTGCATAATCTTCTTCACACACTAAATCATCATAAAACTAATAAAACTAGGAAACCAAATATGATATACATTGGGCTAATGCAGATACCAATTAAAGTAGTTTTCTAGCAATTAATCTTATCAATTTGGCATTTTAAACCCCGTTTTTTCCCGTGTTTTAAAAAATAAGCCAAACAATTACCCTATTCCAACATCAGAATAATCATTATAAAAGTATATGCAGAATGTAGATTTAAATCCGTACACATGAAAATTTAGTAAATTTAGTGATATACAATCCGCGATTTATGCTCACATGAAATGATCAACGAACAATAATTAAGCTATAAATTTTCTTTTTTTTAAAAAAAAAAAAAAACCAAATTTCTCTTTCCATTTTCTTTATTTCTGTCGTATTTAATTTAATTTTTTTTTTTTTTTTTTGTTTTTCTTTTGTTTTTTTTGCTATAATGGAACCTTCAAGATTTAATGGAACTATTCATCCACAGATGTGGATTAAACAAATTCGTTCATTTTGTTACCTTAAACAAATAAAAAGTGAAAAAGAAATTTTGGAATTTTGTATTGGAATGGTTGATGTTCCAATTAAGAATCCTGAAAAGATCAAATCTTTAGATGATCTTATAGAAGCATTAAAATCAAATATTTCATTCACTGTATTTAAAAATTCTTCTCAAAGGAAATTAAACCTTTTAAAATATATTACGGAACGTGAAGGTGGTAATACCGCGAAATTAATTGCTGAATTTCGTGCACTTTGCTTTGATGCTGAAATTATTGACTTGGAAGAACAAAAAAAATATCTCTTTCATGCTTTACCTAATGACTTTTTTAGAAATACTTTTATTAATAGAAAGATGAACAATATTAATTCTTTGGATGATTTAATTAAAATGTTTGAAGATATTGTTCAAGAAGAATCGAACCTAATTAGAAATGGTTCTTGTGTTGCCATTAAACATGTTAAAACTGGAAAATATCTTTCTTCGACTACAAAATATCATCAAACTGGAAGTGGAAAACAAATAGTAAGTAATTCTTGAAAAAAATAATATATATATATATATATACACACACTTGAAACCTTTTTCTTATTCGATTTAACTTTTCGTTGATTGTGATTAGATATTTGCGGGTCAAACGCTACCAGATTCAGATGCATTATGGGTCATTAAAGCTTCCCGGGATCAAATTTCCTATAATGATATGTTTTCATTACAACATAAATCTACAGATACTCTCATTGGGCGTGAATCTGCTTTTAATGAACACTCTTTATATAATGATTATATAGACGGCGATTTTGCTGATCACGTCGAAGGTTAGCATTTAAGATTCAAAATTTTTATCAACCCGAATTTTTTTTTTTTATATTCTTCTGTTCTCTTTTGTAGTGTATTGTTCAACTCCTTCAAGAACTTTACAATTCAATTACCACTGGATGTTTCAAAGAATTAATTATACAAAATATGACTCCTCTTATGTAAGATCTGGAGATATCGTTAATCTTCGTAATGTAAAAGATAATACTTTCTTGCGTAGTCATGAATATCAAATTACTATTTATAATGAGACTTTCCAAGAAGTAATTTCTCATGATAAAAAACTTGAGGATAGTGATGAGGTATAATAATTTTGTTTTGGAACTTGATCGAATTAAGAAATATCAAAGATTAATTAACGTTTCCTTTTTTATTTTTTTTTTCCTGTGTACAGTGGTGCATTGAAATTATTGAAAATTTTTAGGGAGAGGTCGTTGCATACTTTACCACCATTGTAAATTTTTAAAAAAGTTTATCATTACACTCGTGTACACCAAGAAAATGCGCGCATTACATCACATGTTGATTGCAATAATTTTTAACTTTATATGATTCTCTTTCTTGTATAATTTATTTTGAATAAAGATATGATTTAAAATCATTTCTCAACATTTCCCAACATTTTCGCATGATTAATTCTAAAGTTTAGTACTTTTCGGGCGATTCTTCTCAAAACATTAGGATATATATATATATATATATATATATTCCATGCGAACTTCAATAAAAAAAAAGAAAATATTTACACTTTCTTAAGTTGCAAATCGACGTCGCGAAAATATTTTAATGTTTTAAAATTTTGAAAAATAACTATTATGGATTTAAATTTAACGAAAATATCTTCAGGTCATGAAAGTAGAACATTTATACCATGATTATAGCTGAAAAAAATCAAACTTTTATAAGTTCTCTTTAATTCACAAATTTCGCTTAATGGGTTGTCTACGAAGCGTATGATGAGGAAAATGATAATTAATAAAGAATGCTTAATATGTCAAAATGTTTTAAACTTGACGTCAACACGTTGTTCTGCATTAACTTTCTTACTAAAAAATTTGTCATTAAGAAGAAATTTGGCTATTTTTATTTTTCTTGTTGATAATTTAATGCTGTACGCAAATTCTTTATAGTTAACACAAAAATCTAAAAATTCTTTACTAAACTATCCATCCTTATTTCAACATTATCGATTCCTTTACCTTTTATAAAAATTGAAAATAATGCATAAACTAAAATTTATAGGAGTTATTTTTTTTCTTATATTTTTTAAACATACAATTTTTTCGGATTGAACCGGTTATAAGAGATTTAAACAAATGATAAATGCTCTTCTGCACAATAGTTGTTAGTATTATTATTATAATGATGCCCCAATACTATGAACAAAATCATATATATGTACAATAAATACACATTTATAAAGAAATTCGATAAAAGATTCCTGTAAATGGCTATAGGTTTTGCAGTGATACTTTTGAAACATTCCACAAATTTTCACAATAAAGAAAATAGTTAAATCGTCACGTTAAATAAACTAATAAACTTTATTCATAACGATACTCATCGCGCGTTTGCTAAATCACAAAGTAAAATCATACGGTTAAAAAGTATAAAGCTAATAAAAAACATTATTTATTTATTTGTTGACACCTTTCTCCATTACATTTGTTTTTCCTTAGGCAAACTTTCCCAAAACATTGCCTCTCACAAAATGAAATGTCTTGACAAAATCTTTCACCTCTAGACTTTCTAACTGAGATATTTGGGATGATAAATCATCGTATCGTGTTTATTTTTACTTGTGATTCGTTATTTAAGACTTTGAGTCCACATTTCACGCAAGTCCGGATTCAAATGTTCTTTGTTATAAGATCCGATGTATCTCGTTTTGTGAAGGAAAAAAGAATTTAGGAAGGATCTAAATTGATTACCCTAAACCAAAATGTTTTTTCCATTTTATTTTATCAATAAATATCGACAGCATTATTTTCTGATTTTTTTTTGAAACTTTCAAACGCAATTTATAATGCGCGTGGGAAGCATGTTGCTTCATATTTCAGTCATGATGTATACAAAAAAAAAATAAAAAAAAATCTATTAAGAAATGGCGTGAAAGTTCGAACCTTTACTGAAAAGTTGCTTGACGATAATGCTGATGAAGAAAGCAAATTTTTTTTTTTTTTTGTATTACTATCATTGTTGGATATGGATGTTCAAACAAGAAAATCAAAACTCTTTCATGACCCCCTGAATTTTCAAGATATCCTCTCGAAGACATTATACACCAGCTACATATAATCAGCAATTACAAGAATCTTTTGGGCGACGTGACGATTCGATTTTTTATTTTTTAAATAAATAACTATTGGTCTGTCAATAACGAGATATGCAGCGGTCCGCAGTAAATGTATGCCTTTTAGGATCTAACATCTATAAAAAATAAATTGGATCTCCCTTCTTTATTTTTTATAGTTAATTATTGTCAAAATCGAGTAATATCATTGTGTGAATAAAAAGAGAAATCATTTTTTGAAGTTTTTACCTCGGAATATTATAAATTTTTTTTTTTTTTAAAAGAGGAAAAAAGTAGAGTGCATCAAACGAGAGGATTATCTATCTTATTGATAATTTAATCTTTGAATTTTTTTTTTTTTACTGTAATTCATGGCTGGTCACCATGCGCCACGATGCAGCTTTTTTGGAATGTGGGGATGCGATGCTATGTATACCGTAATGAAACATTTCTACAATTACTAAAAACCTTAATAATAAAGGTCAAATATTTGGTAATCCACACATGACAAAACGCCGTCCCATGCATATAAAAAGCAAAAAAATTAATGTATGCGCAGTGTTTTATTTGTAAATAGTCAACATCAAATTTTAAAGTTATATATCCATATGCGTCAATGCGCATTTTTCTATAAGCTGTATAAAGTCTCATTGTCAAATTCTCCTCAAAATAAGCGTAATTATGGTACACATGTGTTAAAAATCATCATTAATGATTTAAGAATTTACAATCAATTAAACAAAGAAAATATTTATGTTTGGATTATTAAATGACTTGATTATCAAACATGGAAATGTAGGTCCTTTTTACCAAATTGATACTGTGAAACGCGTAATTTTTTTTTTTTTCTCGCAGAATCTGGAATTTTTAAAGACGCGGTTTCAATAAAACGAACAATAAATAGAAAAAAAAAGAAGTTTCTAGGAATACTTAATTACAAGGCGTTATGGGGGAGAAAGTTCATGCATTATCATTCATTCCGGGGGGGGGGGGGGGGCTATAAATGTGATTATTTTGTGGCGCTGACGAGGACGTGTTATTTGTTACACGACGAGGTTACATACGAAGCTCGCCCAAATTTTACTTTCTTGAAGTCACACAGATTTTACATTATCACCACCATACAAAAGACGTAGCAAGTGACTATAATTATTTTTTTTTTGAACTTATCACAGTTTACCTTCAGCGGCAAATATTATCCAAGGCGTTAGTTAATTGTTTCAAACAATGATTTGATAGGGTTCACTTACTTTTATTTATAGATTGTTCGCTTGAAGACCTTTTTTATTTTTTTTTAATTTTCTTATTTGGGAATTTCATTTTGCAGATTGTTGTAAATTGAATCCTTTTAATAGTCAACACAGTGTCAGTTTTCTCCTAATTCGAATAAGGTTCGATTGTCGCGAAGAAGGGTAGGGAAAGGCAGCACAGTGCAGGATAATTAATTCCCAACAATAGTTACAAATCTCATAGTGGATTATGACCGGTTATAATCTCCGATAATCCAAAACTCAATTAATTTGAAGCTCAACAAAAAATCTCAAAATGGAGATATATATCCGGAAAATCGGAATAGTTAAACCTATCTGATGTAATATACAAACTTACAAATATTTTTTTTTTTTTTTTAAAAAAAAAAAAAAAAAAAACGCGTTATCTTCCAAATTTAATTTTTCTATCAGGTGTGTTTCGCTGTCATCAAATTTATAACATTTCCTAAAATGGGTAGCTCCGTTTTAACCGGTGACGAAAATCCGTGCGAATCAAAATTTTCCAAAAAAAAAAAAAACTTGTTTATTCCATTCCGAACTAGAACAAATTTGAGAAATAATAGGAATGAAAAAAAAAAAAAAAATAATATTAAAAAAAAAAAAAAATTTTTTTTATTTAAACATTTTTAGTAAGTTACTGAAATGGAATTGCAAAATAAAATCGAGTTTAGCGATTAAAGAAATACATACGTTTTACCAATTGATTTTTTTGGAACTTTTTTTATGTTTCATATTTTTTTAAACTTAACCTTTTTTTCCTCTTCTTTTTTTTCATCAGGATTTTATCCATCTTGGACACGACCCAATCCTTGTTTATAATTAGCATAATTAGCACAATATTCTAAATGAGTATGATTGTATGGCCAATTATAATCGTTTAAACATCTGAATGATTTGACGGTGCAAATCCATCATAATAATGCGATCAGTAAATACAAATAACAACATGCGTACAAACAGATTTCACGCGAGGTCACCAATGATATATGAAATATTTCCCCAACTCTAAAAAAAAAAAGGGTCGTCAATAAAAGACCTAAAGCATATTATTATACAAAAAAAAAAAAAAATAATTATTTGTGTAAAGAAATTATCCATCTTCGAAACGCTTTTTTGGTATTGTTTGACCTGAAAAGATAAGTGTTCGATTATTATTATTCTGAATTGGTCCAAAACAATTACTGTGAAAAATAGTAAGTTATATATGGGTTCCATTGTCTCTCCAATCAGAAGAGGTAAAACGAGTCAACCGGTTTAAAATAATGCACGATTGCAACTTTTTATTTCCTTTTTTTCCAAACATAATTTGAAATCCCAACCAGTTTATAACAAGTTTTTTTTTATCCTCTAAAAGGGCAATTTTATGCCGAGTCATTGTTTGTATGTCGTGAGGCTTTAAACAGTTTTAATACAATCAAACATTTTGGCAAATTTCTTCTTTTCGATTTTCCGTAGAGTTTTTTTGTTCAGTTGGTAAAAAGGTTTGAAAATAGAATTTTTAATCCGAATTCCGTCTAAATGCACATGTGAGTATCAACTTGATACAGATTCTCAAATCCTTAAAATAGTAAACTACAAAATTCAAGCGCCTAAACAAACAAATTCTATCCCCTGCGCCCATAAATCTTCCCACAAGAGGTCTGTCAATAACCTTAATTTCTCCCAACTCTCACTCAAAAAAAAAAGGGGTGATTTATCGCCCCAATATTTTTTTTTTTTTTTGAGGAATCTTACCCCATTTTGTTATTTTTAGCTTCTCTATCATATGCCACCAAAGAAGCCACCTTATATCTTATCGTAGCCACACAATTCAAATTTTTTTAAAAAAAACTCTTTGTTACACTTCGATCAAAAAAAGATTTGCTCTTCACCTTCTGCATTTCTACGTTTGCGAAATTGAAAAGTCTATTTTATATAGAATAACAAGCTTTAATGCAAGCTTTTATTGAAATTTCTTATATGAAGATAAATGAATGAACTTCTTTGAATGACCCCATAAATAAATAAAAAAAAAAATTTTTTTTTTTTTTATTTATTTATTTATTTATTTTATTTGTTTCAAGAACTTATACAATTTTTTAAAATGAAAAAAAAATTTTTTTTTTTTTAAAAAAAAAAAAAAACGAAAAAGCAAAAGCTTACTTTTTAAAAAAAAAAAATGTTGGAATTCCCTTTGTCAAAAAAAAAATTTTTTATTTATCTTTATTCTAAAAATTTTTATAGTAAAATAAGTATGTATAAATAAAAGTTATCAATTGTATCACAAGGAGATCTACATATAATAAATATTTCTTTATTGTAATGTACAAAGTGATACTTTATTTCATAATAACAATTTCAAAAGAATAAACTTGTTTTTTGTTTTCGTGTGTGTTTTTTTTTATAAATACCTCAATCCTTTCAACGCTCCAAACAATTATTTGTTAATAAATAAATTTCTCAAAAAAAAAAAAAATAATAAATCCAACCTATCCAAAAAGAAAAAATAAAATAAAATAAAATAACAAAATAAAATATAACAGCAATAAAAAAAAAATGTCATCAAAACAAATCGCAAGGAAACGTGGAAGAATTAATGTTGTCGCTTGTAACAAATGTAAACGCGACAAAAAGAAATGCGATGGCAGTTATTTAACTCAAAAACCTTGCAGGTACTGTCGTGATCGTAATGAATTTTGCGAGTATACTGAACCAACCCGATTGAGAGTCACCAGAATTCAAAGTGATAATGATGAAGGGTTGGTTCACTCCGACGTTGGCGAGGTCGTTCTCAATGAATGCGAAATCGTTTCCAATCAACGCCAAAATGATCCTTTGCAACATAAAGTCGTCGATCACGAATCGTGCAAATCAGATTTTTTTCAATTATCTATGGATCCGTCAACGACGAGCGAACAAATGAATATTTTAAAACGTCTTTATAATGAAATCATGAGAAATCCTGAAGATCCAAAGTTATCCGGCAATAAACGTGATGAATTGTGTACCAAACTCAAAATCCTTTCCTCCTCAAACGACAGTAATATTAACATGAAAATCCAAATATGGAATGATCTTTGTTCCCTGGTGAATGAACTCGATAAAATCATCACCGGGGGAGATTCAACTATTATGGATTCTTCATTTCTTGATTATAATTCTTGGAATTCGGAAACGTTGGGATTTTCCTCTCCTGTCATACCCACCAATGATATCTTCTCATCCAATTCAACCACTCCAAAAAGTGCCGAATCACAAGGATCCATCTTGAACTTTACAACCGACCTGAACTCTTCAACGGTTTTGAGTGATCCACAACCGGTTCATGAAACAGTGCAAAGTGCACGAAAGAATAAAAAGATCGAAATTAAAAATGTGAAGAAAACAAACAATTCCAAAAAAAGAAAGAACCAAAGAGGAAATAAGAGAACCGTAAGCATAATTTATTAAAGAACGTTTATTCTCTCGTTTTATTACGTTAATTAATTCGTTCAAATGTATGTCATAAATTTTTATAGCAACCATATCCGGCGGGAGGTCAAATAGTGATAAGGCCAACGAAACAAGCGCACACCATGATCTGGCATCAAAATGATCCAATTGATGATGTTCCGATCATGGCATTTCACATACAGTCATCCACACATGCCGCACCACCGCAACCAACACCACCTCCACCACCACCTCCACGACGACAAGCACCTCAACACCCGCAAAGAGCTCAATTTCAAGCGCCACATACGTTCGCTCATTACGTCCCATCTATACCGATCGATCTTTGGGATCATTCAACAACCATGACCATGCTTTCACCTGAACCGAATTCCGCCTTTTCAGAACCCAATAATGATGATATCTTGCCAATCACAAATTCTATTCTCTTATCTCCAACGCCATCGCTTCATGATGATATAGGTGATATCGTATCATCACCTTCCAACTCATCGATTGATCACAATCACATGAGAGCGATTTCTGATGACGAAACGGAACGTTTTGAATTTACATTCACACAATCAACCGGATCACCACAATCATTTACGATGGAAGACTTTAACTTCATTGAGATGTATTCTAATACTTCGGACGATTTATCCAGTGGCATGGTAGAACTATTTGGAAATTTTGATGATCAAAAATAATAATTGTTATCGGAAAAAAAAAAAAAATTTTTATTTTCTTTGTTTATGTCATTATCTAAAAATATCTTTCCGGAATTCGGAAAGGGAATCATTCAATTTATCATATCTGGCTAAATTAAATGATGTTGACATATTAGTTTAGTCGGAAAATCATATCTTTATCTTTTATCTGTTTATAATTTTCCCCAAAAATTTCTTTGTATATAATTTATTCCTAAAAGAAAATTTAAAAATAAAAAAAAATTCTCTTTTACTGTATAATTTTTGTGGTTTTCTATCTCCGTTTCATGTATAAAGAAAATCCAACAGTCTCAGCGTACATTTAACGGGTTTATGTTCTAGATCACATGCATAACAATGCCAACTTGGCTAAAGAATAAAGAAATCCCCTTTTTTTTTTTTTTTTTAAAAAAGTGGAATTTATTTTAAAAACATAATTAATGTTGTAAGAATGAATACATTTAATACAATATAATTTTTTTTTTTATTTTTTTTTTGAGAAGATTGAATGTGAAATCGAATGTGATTCTTTTTTTTTTTTTTTTCCTGAATGAAACAATAAAAAATGGCTTAGTGTAAAAATTAATTGGTTGTCATAACATTTGAAATTTGGTTCGAGAATAATTTTCATGTCGTATTCATTGGATTACGTGTGCAAGAAGTTAAACATAACAAATGTTGATAGCTGATTGGAATTCACCGAAAATACTGGGTTAAAAAAAAACTCGGTATATTTGACAATTGAATACTGATTTATTGTTGTTTTATTCGTTCCCATATGTTTATAAGGTGTTACCAAGCGAAAAAAAAAAAAAGGTAACGTTTTCTTGACATAATCATCCTGCTTTCAATTCTAACCTTAAGTTGTTATGCAAGTTTTACCTCCTTAATGAAAGATGAAACGAAATTGAGATACCAATGGATGAAATCAGTATTTTTCATCTCATTATTGAATTTGGAAAAGGTCCGCGTTTAATTGATGAATGATTTTATTATTATTATTATTGTTAATTTTATTTTATATTTCTATTTTAAAACAATATAAAAGATTTGAATAACATACTAAAAAAAGTAAACAGATAATATTAAAAATTTCGGAAATCGAGAAGAATATGATCTATATTATAACAATAAGAAAAAATTTTTTTTTATATATAAGTTATAAAGTAACACAATCGTTAATATAAGGTTAACACTTTTTACATACCCAAAGCTGAATTATGGAACACAAACAATTTAAAATTATATAAACAAAGTAAATATTTGGGAAATATTTTCTCACACCACTTGCTACAATAGCATTATTGAAGAATTTCTAATTTTGTGTAGCATAAGGACAAATCTTGCCAACATTATCAATTAATCCAGATTTGAAAAACTGGTTTGATTGTGGCTAGGTCAGACATGTCCCAATTATATGCGGTGGCTTTCATTGTGATAATAACCATGATATGTGAGATTCTTTCGTAGAGAATCAATCTATTTGTACACAGTGTTTAATCATTGATAGAATCATAAAGATGCGGTGCACGACGAACTATATTTATTGCACAGCGAGGAATCTTTTTTCATTGAATGAATAATGACTTTATTGAAAGAAAATCCGCTCCAAGTTTGGCAAACAAATAATATCATTATGGAGAAGATCACTTGACTTTTTGATTTGAACAAATATTTAGATTCGGTGATAAATATAGGTTTGTGGATCTATTTAACAAAATCTTTTGCGAAAGAACGAAAAATAACACGAACAATTTTAGATCGAGAATTTCTAGTTACATTCTAGGTTTTACCATTAGGGGAATCATATAAAGAAAGATATGTCCTATAATGGGTCATTATCCGTAAAAGAAATGCCGTTTCCTTATAGAAAATGAGCACGGATCTCGAATAAAATTTTTGATACGGATTCTATATTCGGTTAAACTTCTTGTCATGGTTAAAAATTCATTGTAATTGGAAATGTGTAATTATCGGAAAAATGAAAATCATTTTATTTTTTATTTTTGATAGACGAAAACAAATACCTTATTTCCTTTTTTTGACAAAAGTTATAAATACTTTGCTAAATTGATTATAATCATGTGCAATTTGGTAGTTTTTGATGTCGCAGTTCAGAAAATTAATCTCGTTTAATCCGGCACTATTTATCAAGGTGTGAATTCTAAATAATAAATTAATACAGTTGTTATTACTCAGCTGTTATTGAAATCATAAATATCTTTATTAAACTAAACTTGGATTAGTGAGATTTTTGTGCTAAAAATGTAAAACTTAATGAAAGGTGTGAAAGTTTTTAATAATCAAAATTGAATATTAATAATTAATTGTTTGTGTATTCCATGTTATAATTTAACCATTTTAGGAAGATAAGATAAAATAAAAATTCTTTCGTGTTCCGATTTTTAAATTTGCATTGTTTTACTTATACAATTGGAAAAAAAATTTTTATTGTGATTACCAAAAATGTATTTTTAAAGTGTGAAATTTATTTTTTTGAAAGGTTTGGGCGCATTGTTTCAACTTAAAAAAAAAAACAAATTTTCGCCGTTTCTTTTCTCTAAAAATTTAGAATTTCCAATTCTACACAATGATAGTAACGAATTATTATCCTTTTCTAACCTCGTCCTTTTATGTAAATTTTGTAGACTTTATTAGTGCACTCCCGCAAAATCGTGAATCGGATACCTTCCGTTTTTGATGTAACGTTTCATCTGCTATGTGAGATTTTTTTATCGTCATTAACATGACATAAGATAATTTAGTCCATAATATGGTTTATACGTGGGGAACTTTGAATCAGTGTTTTACACAATGCTAGATTAGCAAATTGGCCCACTAAATTTTTGATAGTCCACCGTGGTATATAGTAGGTATCACACATGTGACATTGTTTAAATCAAAACCTTCTTGATCGCATATAACAAAAGTCAAGTTTGATTTTTTCGCTGATAAACTAATATCGCGTCATGTTCTTTTTACGCGTTTAACTTGATTTTATCTTAATATAAATTATAAGGTAGCAAGTAGTAGGATAACAAATATATAAACTTATCTCTCAAGTTATAATCAATCTTTTTTTTGATATGAATATTTCTGAACGATTAGTTTTTATTTTTTTTTTGGTTTGGCTTTGTTATATTGCATACAGTATATCACAAATGTGATCTTCTTGAATCAAAAACGCCACAATTTTTTTTTCAATAATCAAAAATTTTTTCACAACAAATGTCTCTAATCAAAATGCCTCTTTTGATCAAATATCCATAATTTTCAATTAAAAATTTTTAGTCGAGAACCCCATTCGACTAACTTTTATTTTGTTTAATTAACTAGAAAATTCATCATAACTAATATAAATAATTGATTCTGATATTTAATGTATTAAAGTGGCTCATCAATTTATCAATTTAAGCTTTTTTGATAAATGAGATTGTGATTTTTGTGACTCGCATGTTACAAACATTTTGTATTTTTTTTTTTTCATTTTTTTTTTTTCATGATCATAGGACCATAAATGAATTGTCAAACTTGTTTGCCATAGGATTTCTAAAAATAAAAATTTTTTCTTGTACAGTATAATAAAATAGGATGATTTGGTAACCTAATTTGGGTTCAATCTTAAATCATTATTTAAAAATCACTCATATCATGAAACACTTAACGATAACACAATCCATAAATTTCTTCGGCACGATTCTGTGTCACCTCATGATGTAGGAATTAGTTATTCGTGTAATTCGTAAAAATTCGTTCCTGTTGAACCAGTTTATATTACATTGCATTGCATTTGAACACGATTTAAAATTTATGTGTTCAAATTGATCAAATAAACGGACTAAACGGACTAGCGGACTACAATCATGGTAACGACTTTATTAATTTATTATAACTTAAATATAAATCTACGCTATATTCTTAAACTGGACGAATACTGAACGACATCAAGTTGTTCTCAATTCCAGGATTAGATTTACCGCGAAATTGCTTATTTAGGTTGTACTTGTCTGTCTCAGTGTTGGCAAATGTCCTTGAAATGACCTTAAATGACCTCAAATGACATCATTTTTATTAGAAATTTCAATTCAAAATGACCAAAGGTCATTTAAAAAATAGTAAGTGACCTTATAATTTGCCATCACTGGTCTGCCTGCATGTTAACCGCGTTAAATATTAAGGTTATTTTCTTCCTGTTATCAGTAATGACCTTTTGCAGACGATGCGGCACTTTGCCTGTTACAGGCCAGCCCCCTAACACAAGCTCCAAATTCAATCGGTTTTATGCAGTGTTGGCAAATACCTTAAATGACCTCAAATGGCATCATTTTATTATAAATTTCATTAAATATTAAGGTTATTTTCTTCCTTTAATCACAATATTAAGATTATTTATTAATACAACATTTAGCGAAGAAGGACTCTTTGTTCAATCCAACTTACACGGCGTCTACCATTGATCCATCCTGTTATCAGGAATGACCTTTTGCAGACGATGCGGCACTTGCCTGTTACAGGCCAGCCCCCTAACACAAGTTCCAAATTCAATTGGTTTTATGCAGTGTTGGCAAATACCTTAAATGACCTCAAATGGCATCATTTTATTATAAATTTCATTAAATATTAA